AAGATCCTGGTTTATGTTTTGCTGAAGGACTGAATGCCCCAGTAGATTCTGGAAAATCTAGACTTTCAGAAAGCCTGAAAAACACTACTCAAATTCCTTCAACCCATTCAACAAGGTTTTCCTTTCTTTTTCTTTAAAATGAATTTGAAGCTTGAAATACCTTAATAGTTGATTAAATATATAAAAGTGCCTGTTAACTAGTGACAGAGCAGACATGTCAAGGGGCACTAAGATACATTTTCATCACCAACTTTCATTTTCGTGGAAAAGCATGACGGTTAAAAACACGGGTCTAGAGGGAGGCGTCTAGGTTCAACTTCCAGCTCTGTGTTCTCAGGCAAACATGTGACTTCTCTGTGCCTCAGTTTCTTCATCTGTAAAAAGAAGATAATAAAAGAATATACCTCACAGAGTTGTGGTGACCAGAATTCCTGACACATATGCCCCCATTAAGTATTAGTTGTTGTTAGTAGTGGCAACAGCGGGAGGAAAATCAGTTCTCAAGATCTAGTAGTAGCAACATCAAGATTTTTGTGTGCGCTGTCATGTTCCAAGTCTTTTTGCCCAAACCATTCTGATAATGTGGACTCAAGAAAGTCTACAATCATTGTTAAATTGGCCTATGTAGAAGAGGTACGTGGAAAACTTACTGGAGGAAGAAAGCACCATGTGTTATAAGAGGAAATGTAAACCTTTTGTTTATAAAGTATAACCAATTCTCTACTTGAGGGGAATAATCTAGAATTGACCATTTTAAGTAACTTGCTACCAGAGCTGCTAAAAAGTGGAAATTTTGTGTGTGGAATCAAGCATAAAAAACACTACATAACCATAACAGCTAAGGTGCACCCATCCATTTCCCTTAAATGCTGAGAGAATCAGAGACAGAGCTTGGGCCCTGTACAGGAAGGTCACTGGCAAGATTTAGATGCGTGGCTTTTGGTTCCAAAGTGACCAGGCAGTAAGAAATACTGGAGTCCTGTGCACACAGAGATAAATGTACCGTAATCTCAGAATATTAACCCTTAGAGACAACCTAATCCAACGTCCTCATTTTATAGGTGAGGAAAAAGGCAGAGAGGTTGCACATCTCGTTCAGGGTGACAAAGTCAGTGGGAACATTGGGACTAGAATGCTTAATAGCAAACGTGCCTTTTTACCACATGCCTCACCTTGCTTTTAAGTTTCTCTTTTTATGATCATTATCTAATGCTGAAATGCACATGTAGTAGAATTTGTCAGCTGGTGATCAGTTTAATATTTAACTCCTCATCAGTCAGGTGGTATTCAGAACAACTGTTTTTGATTAAAGATCACTGAGAAACTAAAAATTTTTATAACCCTGAACACTGCTTTCTTTAACCCAATCCATTCCTACTCCCAAAGATACATCCAGTTCCACTCTTAGTGAATTTCACTTCCAGAGAGTTTTTAAAAAATTTTTTGCAAGAATGGTGAAAAGGGGCCAAGGCATTAGAAAAAGATTCATAAAAAGGTGACTTAAATGAAGAATTTCCTTTAGAGTCACTAGAGGCAAACTAGTTTATTATTTGAGTGGCAGATACAATTACAGATCTCAGAAGAAAACTGGGAGTATACTACCAAGCCGTTTGCCAGATTGAATCTTTAACCCAGTGGGCTTTGTGTATTTTTTTGCATATTTGGTTAATTTAACACAAATTAAAACTCCTAACTCTAGACTCTATAGAGTTTAACTATATTCAGTTAAAGCACTAAATAAACGCGGTTGCCTGGGAATTCCCAGGCCTTGTGCCCACATGTGGAGGGACAGGCAGAACTGGATGTGTTAGGTGGTTATGGTCCCAGGAGTTTTGAATTGGATTATTATACCATAATACAGAGACACATTTATAGCACTTCATTGTTTTACAGAATCTTTAAAATATGTTATTTCTGTTAGTCTTCAACACCACAATGCAATGTTATATTATCCCCTGAAGAAAAAGTCAGAAATCTCACTTCGCAAATTCTAACAAATCAAACCATCACTAAAAGGAGAAGCTGTGAAAATCCAGATTTGTATATACATATCGTATCCCAGAAAAACCACAGACTTTATTCTCTACTATTAGTAAAATGTAGAATATTTTGTTTTGTAAAATGGCAAGAAAGAATCATAGGCAATATGTTTATTTAAATCACCTTTACCCCAGGGTCTTCCAAGGCAAACAAAAGTTGAAGTATCTCGTAACAGTCAAGGAAGCAGTTTTAAATGAACTTTAAATGGTGTCTGACATTTCTCATGACTTGTTAGTAATTAATCCCAAGAATTCTGAACATCTGTATCACTGACCACAAGGTTCCGGAGGAAAATGTTAGCAAGTCCCCACTGGGTCAGCTCAGGAAAGTTAAGTCGTGGTGTGGCGTGACTGAAGAAGCCAAAGAAAAGGTTCTTCTCTCTCAGTAGAAAGAGGTTGGGAATTAGAGTGTGTAAAGGAGAGAGGCACAAGCTGTGCTGGCTGCCTTTATCCTGTAGCATTTAGAATATCCTTTGTGGAAGGAAGGAAAGAAAACCCTGCTGTAAGAATAATGATGCCCTAAGGAAAAACATCTGTCCCTTTGTGGAGTGCAGTATGTTTAAGGGAAGCAGCTGTTATCTGCTTTGAGTTAAAAGGTGGGCTTATTCCCACCTCCACACTTCCGAGTTCCACTAGAGTTGACTGCTCCGTCTCTGATGTTGAAGGCAGATGTAAACAACAAAGCCTTTTATCTAAATATTTTAATTCTTTCTCTTTTCCCATAATTCAACCCACGCATTAGCCTGTGGAATTGACTTAACAGGACGCATATTTTTTTGTGAATCTGGGACTTGGGAAAAGATTCTTAGTTTGGAGTATGAAGGCGGTGACATTTGTTTAAAGTTTAAACACATCTAGTGTATGTAAGGAAAATGTGAAGGTCAACATGAGCAAGAAGAATGTGCAAGCGCTCTCGGATTGGAGAGGAAAGCCCTAGATTGTTCCATAAGATTTTGTTAGTTTGACCTTTTTACTTCACAAAAGTTGGAGGTAAACCTGAGTCATGATATCCCAGATACTTATAGGAAACCTAAGGGGTTTGGGGGGAGTTGAGGTAAAAACATTAAAGAGACGGAACTTACCTGATTCAGATTTCTTAATTCTTTCCTCTGTCCCGTACCAAATTAAAGCCACTTTTTATCAAGTGAATCTCAGCACGATCTGGCTAAAGCAGTTAAAGTGCTGGCAGGGCAAATGGTCAAGCGGGTGGAGGAGTTGGGGTTCCTGCAAGTTCTGATGCCTCCGGGGCCAGGCAGGAAATCTAGGAGAGAAGCTTGACAGCTCTGCTTACCTGCGGGCCAGACGCCTTGGCTCTAGCTGGTGTTTCTTCGTGGAAATTGGGGCTCAGTGTGGCCTGACTTTTCAGGAGAAGCCAGAAATCTTTTTTTTCCCCTTGTTAAAGTCTCCCAATTCTTAAACAGTATAACACATTTGGTGAATTTTAAAAACATTCAGTACCAAATAAAACAGACTGGAATATACTTGCCAGGTCTGCTAGTTTTCTAGCTCAGGTTAACAGACTTCATCCTCCTAGGAGGTTTTGGGACCTTAAACCAAGAACTTATTGACTCAAAATAAGTGAAGGGAATGAGATTTGTTTCTTCTCATTTATTTAATAAATATTCATATTAACAAATATCAAAACTCTATTCATCAATAGTCACAGTGGATACAAAGATGGGTAAAGACACAGCCCTGCCTGTAGATCCCAGTGTAAGAAACAGATAAACAGGAAATTACATTATAGTGAATTTTGTGTAATTAAACAGGTATTCCCAGGGTGGGGTCAGCTCTGGAGGGCATTTAAGCCTTCTTTGGAATGGGAACTGTGTCTTAAAGGAGTCCATCAGTTAAAGAGTGTAGGCGCTTTACAGGAGAAGCAGAAAGTACAAAGGAACATTGATGAAAAAGAGAAAGGTATGTTTGAAGAAATGTAGGTGTTTACTACCATTAAATGATTATCAAATCAAAGCCAAGGATGTTAATCAAAAAACAGATCCCGGGCCGGTCCTGTGCTGTGGGAGTTAAATTCAGTGCCCTCCACTTTGGCGGCCAAGGTTAGCAGGTTCAGATCCTGGGTACAGACCTTCAACACTCGTCAGCCATGCTGTGCTGGTGATCCACATATAAAGTGGAAGAAATTGGCACAGATGTTAGCTTAGGGCTAACCTTACTCAAGCAAAAAAAGAGGAGGATTGGCAACAGATGTTATTCCTCTGCCAAAAAAAAAATGAAAAAAAAAAACAGATCCCCCTGCAAAAAACCAAACTGGCTTCCCATCCTAGACATTCTAAATCAGAATCACTGAGGATTTTAATAGGCATCATCGGTGGTTCTTAGGATCAGGCTTGCATGAAGCACCTGCTGCTAGTTTCTAGAGTAGATTGTATCAAATCTGAGAGCAGGAGAGTCTGCCTGGATTGGAAGCCGGGCTCCATTCCTTAACTAGCTGAGCTGCCATGGGTGAAGAAAGTAACCTCTTTGTGCTTAAGTTTCTGTACCTGAAAAGTGGAGCTAGAATATTCACTTCATAAGGTTGTCCTAAGAATTAAATGTAAAATGCTTAGAACATTATCATCCTGCTCACCACTTGAATCTCAGCTAGTACTGGGACTGGTCCAGAAAAATTATTCAGTAAATATCTGTTGAATGAGTAAGACTGGGAAGGGATAAAGTGGCCAGATCACTGGAGTCCTTAGTTCTTCTCACTGTTCTAGGTACAATCTCAGGGCAGCCACCCACACTCCACCTGTCTACCTGGAACCATATTAGTTATCCCCATGTGGCTCAGTTAAAAACAAAATGGGAGCAGCTCCTATATGAGAAAATTTCTAGTGTATTGCATTAAAAAGAAAAAATAAACACAGTGTGCTATTTCCCTGTAGCAAAGCGAGAAAACTTACTGAATCTCTGCTGCTTTAATTAACAGCTTTATTTCATTTTCTTCTCCCTTGACCTAAGGCTGCTGTGGTACCATCTGCCCAGACCCTTAAAATTACTGACTTCAGCTTCAGTGACTTTGAGCTGTCTGACCTGGAAACGGCACTGTGCACAATTCGGATGTTCACTGACCTCAACCTTGTGCAGAACTTCCAGATGAAACATGAGGTAGGAATGCAGTGATGTCCTTTGGAAAAGAGTGTGTGTGTGTGTGTGTGTGTGTGTGTGTAAGAGAGAGAATTAGTTTTGTATGCTAGTATGGAATAGATTTTTAAGTTTTAGTGATTAATATACTGTCACTGAATGCATACCGAGATTTTTAAAGGAAAGTTATCAACCATTAAAAAGACATTTATTGGGTTCCTACCAGGTATCAAGCACCAGGTTGAAGAGAGGGAGAGTATTCCCACAGCGAGTGGGATGCTCAAAGGCAGGATGACAGAAAGATAGGGGTGCGGGCGTGAAGCCCTGGTTGTGAGGGTGAGAGTGGCAACTGGAGAGGAAGGTAAGAAGCACATCACATATAACCTTGTAAGCTAGGCAGCGGGATTTGGATTTTATCCTGAAAACAAGTGTGAGTCACTGAGGAATTTTAAGGAGGGAAGTAACATGATCTGATTGCAAAGGTCATAATAACACAGTAGAGGGAAGGACCAAAACGGAGCAAACTCCTTTGGAAATGAGGGCGTAAAGGGGCTTGATGTGAGGCCAAGCTCTTGGTCCGAACGGGGTCACCCACATGGGATGAAGATGAAAACTGATTTTAACCCCTGTGGATTGCCTTATTCGCCTCCCAGAAAAAAGCAAGACTTAACTAAACATCTTCTAATACTAGTGTGGAGATATCAGGGAATTCTATTTTGTTTCATAACGGCTATGTGTATACCATCAAAGAATAAGGGAGAATAGAAAGGGCTGCTTGAAAAAAAATCAGTAATTTGCCGTTAAACTTATTTTTTTCTGGTCAGTTGAATGTCTAGTCTCCTTGTACAGATTTCCTATTTGGAAATTTAAACACCTTGAAGGCTTCCACTATTTACCAATCCAATAATTCATAAAATGAAAATGTATTAACATACACAGTGTACCCAGCACTGTGCTAGGTACACATTTCAGGATGAGTTGTCCCTGCTCTCAGAGGCCTCACAGGAATAAAAACTAAGGGCTAATACAGCTAAGGTCAATACAGTGTCATTTATGGTATTAGGGGGGCCCAAATCTAGTTCTTTCTTGAATTTAACCAAAGTTTATATTATTCTTGGGTGAAAACAAAGAACAACTGTCTGTAGACTCTTCTCTAAGAAGACTTCACTCCTATTACAGTGTGTTGATTAAGCGATATCAGTCATTTAATTATTTCGAGAAGTTCTCCAGAAACGTTATTGGTTATTTTAGTCCCTGTTTTACAAATGCAGAAATTGAGACAGCACGATAGACTAGAAAGCTCATGGATTCTGTAGTCACGGTCTACTAGTGATTAGCTTTTTTTTTCTTGGGCAATTAATCCCTCATTCTCAGTGTGGTAATCTGTTAATTGGGGATCATGGTATGACTTTCCCTGTGGGCATCCTGTGAGAACTACCCATGCGTCTATGTGAGTGTCTCTTTGTATGCATGTGTATGTGTATACACTTGTATATTTTGTTTAATACAGGTGTGGACTGCATGTCAGTTATCCTTTCCTTAGGCCAAATTTGACTATAGTTATATCACCCCATCAAATTTCTCTATTGTAGGTTGTAGGGCCCATTTTTAAAAGCCTTTTCTATTAATGGAATGAAGACCTCATTTAGAGCCATAAGTTCTAAATGTGAATCTCATTTCTGCTTCTTGCTTGTTCTAGGACCTTATAAACTAAGATAGCATCTCAAATCCCTTTCCATTCCTGAAATCTCCCATACTTTAAATTAGTAATGATTCTGTTGAAAGGGCCTGGCCAGAACAAAGGAATGTGGTCCTTGTACCTATTTATGAAATTCTTCTAAGTTGATTTATTTCTTAAAAACTTTTATTTTTAGATAGCATTTGAGTGTTGGATATGAAGATAGTCACTCAGAATTTCCTTAGCAATGTTTATTCTTACCTTTTCTTGAATTTTTTCCATTGGGCAGATATTTCTCCTCACTGTCTCATTCATCTTCTCTCCTTTTCTGTTTAAATAATCACTGTTCTAATTTCGGCCAACATCAACTTGAACATTGCAGTCCTTCTGCTTGGCCTTCCTGCCTTAGTGCCTCAATTCTGTTTTGTTTTTTCAGATATTATTTGCCCTATAATTTTAGGATGCTAACGTTAAAATGTCAGTGCTAGAGAGGATAGTAGCATCATGAAGCTGCCCTGACAGAGTATTTCCTCCACAAAACATGTCAAATCTTCACGTCTCTGCTTGGCTTCCTATGACCATCGCAACCATTGCTCTTGCTGATCTCTGAAATAAGAGTCTTGACTCTCCTCGAACCAATCTGCATGTGCTGTGCTGATTTTTACCTTCTATTTATTACGTGTCATTCCTCCCCTAAATGGGCTGCTCCACTTCCAAGTCTGCTTCATTTTATGCCACAACATAGTTCTCTCTTCCTCAGAGCCTGACTCAAAAGTCTCTGTTCCTGGGAGAATCCTAGGATTGACTTCATGCTACTTGGAATGCTGTTGACAGTTTATAAATTCGTGTTCTCAATTTTATGTTGATATATTTATTTCCTTTTTCTGTGCACTTTGATATTTTCACTAGTGATTGAGACTCTTGAAGGCAGGAGCTGAGCTGTGTTTTGTTTCTTCCCTTTCTCCCACAGCACCTTGCGTATGCCACTCAGGACTTAGCAAGCTTTCGTAATTGTTGGAGACTGATGCAGCACATTGAGCATGCTCCCTAGAGTCATCCAAACTGTACATAATGATTCAATAGCCCTGTACAAAAAAGACCGTATTATAGATTTGAACATGCCAGGCATATCCACCAACCACTTAGCAGATCTGACCATAATTTCCCTAAATGCTGTTAAGAACATCCTGATAATAGAATCTCAAACTGTACTTAAATCTAGTTGCTAACTACTGTATCCACTGTTACCCAATTCTATCAGGCCCATCTTAAAAGAAGCTTAATAGAATAGTCCATCTGGAATTATGCTTCAGAGTCATTTGGGTCATTATTTCACATTATATGATATGTGCATATTTAATTATTAATTATATCTACAGATTTATGATTAGTAAAAAGAAATGCCCATAGGTTAAACTTCTGGGTTTTCCTGCTTATTTTCCTTGATTCTTTAATTAATCACCAGTAATTTTCTACAACACTTTACTGCACAGTTTCTAAGCATTTCAAAGAAAGTTTATGGCTCTTACCTAAGATTCTCCTAATACAATGACTCTGTCACCTTCCTGACTGACTTTGTTCAGAAATGGTCATGGTGAAAGAAGCTGCACTGTATTGGGATTACCACACGTCAGTCTTAGGCACACTGAAATCCTCTAGAAAAGACGGTGACTTGGAGGTGAAGTAGCTTGGGGACCTTGGGGTTCTTTGTTATCAGAATTCCCTGTGAACTGTGTGATAAAACAGGAACAAAAAGGCCTGAAAAGAAAAGGGAGGCTATGAAAGCACTAATTTCCTACCAAATCCTCTATAAGCAATTTCTACCAACAATGAAGAAACCTCGTTTTTGGCCTACTTCTGCAGCCAGTCATGCTGTGGTGTTCATTGCTAGAGCAACATTCTTTTCCCTGGTACTTTCTTCACTCCCCGGGGCAATGTCCTTTGTGTTTGAAATGTCTCCAGTGATATACGTAGGGAAAAGCACATATTTATTTTTACAGATCCCCAAAAGTATAGTAAATCATTCAAAATTGAAGAGAGGCAGGCTCTGATGCTAACACAAACACAAAATAACCATGCTTAGGGCCCATGAGTCCCTGGGGATTTTACTGACTTCACCACTTAGAAGCTGAATTAAACCCAGCTTGTGAGATTTTCCGAATAGTCTATAATTTTTTTTCCCATCTTTTAAAATAATTTTTTTTCATATGGACGCTAGGGCTTTATTTTGCATATATTATTTTTAAAAATTACTTCTTGGTAACCAAGCAGTAACTCTGCCTGAATATTTAAGCATAGTTTAAAAGGGACAAAGATCTAATGATTGCATCAGGACTTGGAGCTCCAGTTTGTCCTTGGACATGGGTGACATTCCTGCCCCCAGTTCACCCCCAGAGCCTTGCACTAAATACCTTCACAGACATACAGATGGCAGCCTGAGAAGAACTTTTGAGTGGCTGATTGCATGGCTCTCTGTAAGTGAATTCACACGTATGTGACTAGCTGTCTCTCCTAATTGATGACACATGCATATAATATCTTTTAAAAAGCCCGTCAGTGCCTTACCTATGCCAAAAATACCTTTCTTAGTGCTTTCTTGCATTTTACATCTAATTTAGTTACTGTGGGGGTTAACATGGTGGGCTCTTGAGACAGACTGCTCAAGTTTGAATCTGGCCCCACCCTTAATGAGCAACTCAACCTTGGGCAAATTACCTCTGAATGTCAGTTTCCTCATCTGTAAAATGATCCAAATAGTAGTGCCTCCCTCAGGGTCATAAGGGTTGGATGTAAATACTTTGTCCGGTGCCTGGAACATAGGAAATGTGGGATGAACGTTAGCAATTATTGTTTCTACTTACGCTTTATCTCCTAAAGGTTCTTTGCAGATGGATTTTGAGTGTTAAGAAGAATTACCGGAAGAACGTTGCCTACCATAATTGGAGGCATGCCTTTAATACGGCCCAGTGCATGTTTGCTGCTCTAAAGGCAGGCAAAATTCAGGTATTTTTTAGAGCCATTAATACATTAAGACATTTTGTTGCTTTAGTAGTATAATTTACAGCATGTTCTTTCAAGTTTTTTTAATGTGCACTAATGATGATTGAGAATAATATTTATTGCTACTTACAAGATAAATTACATTTTGTTAATTAAAGAAGATAAGTATGGCAAAATAGTTACTAATTTTCTTTCATATATAATATATATGGCATATTTTTAAAAATCTTTAAAAGAACTACATGTTTAACTTAGTCTTTGAGCAAATAAATACTTCCTTCAGAGGAAAACTCCACAGTATAAGTAGTAAATTTCTCATGTTCACATTCGGCCTGCTCCATAGTAGAATTCCTCAGAAACCACTCAAGTCCTGAACTTGGCTTCATAGATAAGTCCAGGGTTCTCTATCACATTTTCTCTGGAGCACTCAGTTAATTTTATAAGTACTATTTCACCGAAAGGGTTTTGGTTTCATATACATTGACCGAGACTGTTTATAAGGAAGATCAATGCAGAAAACGTTCAAGTAATTCATTCCTTTCCAGGCCAAATTTTATCCATATCTCTGTCCTTAGATTCTAACTTCAGTGGGAATCGACTAGTTATTCTAGGTAAGTGATTCCAGGCATCCATCATATAACTGTTTTTAATTCAGAGCTTCCATGCTCTTTTCTTTGTAATAAATTCTAAAAATGTTATTCTCTGTCTCTACTTTCATAGGGTGCACATTTTAACTGGCTAGAGCTAAGAGAAGTGATTGCTGTCCAAGAAGCCATATGAAATATCATAGTAGTATTTTCCTGCCATAGCAAACATTCATAAGAAATAGGGTAAACTTATTTGGGGATGGAAAGGTCATAAGGATTATACCTCTGAAGACAATCCTTGCTTTTTGTGAAGAATAGCAAAATGATGATTTTTGTGTATGTTATAAACATACTATCTAGAGTGTTGAGAGTTCCAGAATAGAGCTGATAATAATTTCAACCCGTGTTTTCTTACTAATGAAGGAGAACAGTAGTATAGATAATACAAATGGCAGATATTAAAAAATAACCTATCTGTGGCTTTGGCATATATTGATCAATTTTTAGAAGCCAAATTTTCATTCCTAATTTGCTTTTTTTCTGTTGTTTTGCTTAATATTCACTTTATCTCTGTGCCCTAAGAACACAGCAACTGAGAGCAGAGAGTTAAGGCAGCAGAATCAGCAGGGAACTAAAAGGCAGAGAGAAAACAATTACTTTAAGTTTATTTTGATTATTCCACATATATGTAAATAATTAAGAATTAATGGTATTTACTATAGATGGATAGATTATTGATTGTTTGAGGCATTTCAGCTTTTTCTGTTGCTAAGTGACATCTGTGATAATCCCATTCTGAAGACAAAGGACAACTGATTTCCTGCAGATCAGGGATTCTAGGATGAGTCCTTTGTGACTATACAGAAGTACATATACATAGCAGTGAGAAAGAAAATACGTGATTAGTGAAAAGAGGTAGTATAATGCGCTTTACCTAATTGTCCTTTCTGTTTCTTTCCTCCAATGCCTTTGATCATGCAGAACAAGCTGACTGACCTGGAGATACTTGCGTTGCTGATTGCCGCACTGAGCCACGATCTGGATCACCGTGGGGTGAATAACTCTTATATACAGCGGTAAGCCCTTTTCCCCAGCCAGAGAAGAAAATGTTGCTTTTAAATTGTAGGGCTGTCTTTTTTAAAGTAAAAGCCACAGCAAAATTTGATGGTACAGAATTTCAATTGGTCAAGGTCCCATAGCGGTCTCTGGTTTTATTTAAGGGAAATGGAAAAAATAATGCAAGTCAAGTATTGTGTTGATAATGTTTCTCGTCTGAAGTTGAAAAAATATTTGTGTTGAGCATCTTATTTCATTGATAATTACCAAGAGTTTTGCTTTAGTTTATGTACACTCAGCTTAAGAGCTTCATTGGAAAACTATTAAGACTAGTTCAGAAAAGGTAGAATTTCACCCTGGAATAGAAAAGATTATATTTGAAAAGTGCTGAGCTCAATCCGAGGTACCTAGTCAGTGCTCACTGGAAGGAGGCTCTGGTCTTAGAGATGGCAGTGGAGCAGTGTGGAGGGCCTGGGCTCTGCAGTCAGACCTGGATTGAAATCCTACCACTGCTGCATGGTTCCTGTGTGACCTTGGGCAAGGGAGCCCATCTCTCAATACCTCAATTTCCTGATTTATAAAACAGAGATAATAGCACACCTACCTCATAGGGTTGATGTAAGTTTTAAAAGATAACACACATCAATAGCAGGTGGAATGTCTGGTACATCTGGTACATGAATGTGAAATAAAGCTTAGCAGCAGATGCTAGTGATAGTCCCATTGTCACTGGAAGCCCGCTTTTTGGTTGACTTTGAGACTAAGATACTATCTCTTCAGACAAGTGTTTCAGGCTCCCTTACAGATCATACTTAAGTGATGTTTGCAATAACAAATGAGATGATAAAGATGACATCACTTTTCATAGATTTTTGAGCCACTGTGACATTTTTATTTTCTTGCAGTAACTTAGTTGAAAAGCCTAAGTTTTAATGGCAAAATCTCTTCCTACTGAGCATTTTTTAAGTATGTAAGTGATTAAACTAATGGATAGATCTCTTAAGAAAATTCCAGATGTCTGATATCTTGAGGGAATTTCAGGAAGCGCTCTAATCACATTCCCTTTATCTAAATAAAGGGAAAACTTCATGTAAGAAGAATTGTAGTGATGTAGCAACCATGTCCTCTGCTGACCTATGATGGGAAAAGATAGCAAGCTCTTGCCTGAGTGTCAGCGACTGGCTGCTTCCTCTTTAAAATCTAAGGTTTTGGAGAACTGACTGGGTGACATGTCCTTTGTCTCCTGTGCTCTGTCATGTGCTTGTGATCCTGAGCCTCACATCGACACAGTAGTGATTATGAAAGGGAACAAGGACATGAAAAGATGTATAGTGCAGAGACGAGCATAGCCTGAAGATCAGAGCCAGCAGTGCTGTGTTCCCTCCCTACCTCAGAACTGAACATGATATTATTAGTATATACGGATAATTAGTGTCAGGATTGCTCTCAGATGCCATGTTGCCCTGCTTTAGAGTGAAAAAAAACACAGCTATTTTTTCCTTTGTTTATTTAAAAATAATTACCCGGAAAAACATCTGGAGAAACGTCATCTTCTCTTCAAAAAAAAAGTCCTGGGAAAAAGTCAGACTACAGAATCTTGCTTTCACAAACACACCACAAAGCAGACTTCCACCAAGTAATAATAACTTAAAAAAAAAAAATTAAAGGAGTTTCAGACATTTTTATTTCTTCCTACATCCCTGTGGTTTGAGTAGAAGAAGCCAAGAATTTTCTGGGGATGTTTTAGTGGTAAGTGAGTGATACCTCAAGTAGGATTTTCTTAACCAGGGACTCTTAGAAGAATAAAAGTACCAAAACATTCCCATATAAAGAACTAACTTCTACAAAGGTGTACTGTGTCCAGACCTCATCAGGTATTCAAACACTATATGAAGAAGACCAAAACAATACAAGAAGGCACAGAAATAAAAGTAATATATCAAAAAGAGAAAGGGCTGTCATGTGGGAGCAAAGTTAGAAATGAACTACTTCTGTCATTTGTTCTTCTTGAACATCTTTTCAGGAAATTAATTTGAAGTAAGATATTCCTTGTAAAGGAAACTGTGTTTTGATTCATTATTTGATTCATTATTTTGATTCCTTATTGGTTCTTTGATTCCTTCCTTGACTAGGAAGACTGCCATTCACTGCAAATATGCCAGTGGAATATTTGGGGGAAGAGTTCACTATTATGCTTCCTTCTCCCACATGGGTGGATAAAGGAAAGAATGATTTCAGATAGATATTGAATTATTATTTTAAAAATACACAGTAAGAGAAACAAAATGGCTGAAGTACAGACATCCGCTAGAGAAAGCACAGTTGTAACACTTGGTTTATGTAGAGAAATTTTCTGCATTTGGCCTGCAGTCAGTATAAGAAGACTGTCATAGATGCATTTATTTAGTTAGCTCCAGGTTTGGTGTTTTATAAAAAAAATAGTGAAATTATCCTACATTTTAGGCAGATGGATAATGAGCAATTACTACGGCCTGGTGCTTTGCTAGGCGGAAAGAGAACTATAAAAGTATAAAATGTGGTTCCTGTTATTAGGGAATTTTCATAGTCTCATGAAGCAATGTGGATCAATGCAAGAAGGCATCTAGCAAGTCCTGAGTTGTCTGATAACGTGGGTTGTAAGTGTTCAGCAGAGAAGGAGATTGGTCAAGACTAGTAGTCTACCTCCACTGTTAATGGAGGAATAAGACTTAAACTGGGTCTTAAAAGTGGGTAGGATTTGGAGAGGAGAAAGGATGAAGATATTCTAGAAGCACCATTAGGCAGGCATTTTCATGGAACAGTGATGATGGCTAGCCTGACTAGAGTCAGAAGGCTCACTGACTAGGAATGAAAAGTCAGAGGATGAACAAAGAGGAGTTATAGGACCCTTTTGAGGGAGAGCTACAAAACTAAGTACATTTTAGATTTGATATAGCAAAAACACAAGGAGCCGTTGCAGTGGGTAATAAAGACATTGTTTAGGAAGAAAGTCTGAAAATAAGGTACAAGGTAAATGGGTAATTATTAGAACCACAGAGTTTAGCTAGAAAGCTGTTACAACAAGTTAGGTATATGGTGAAAATCACATATTGGTTAGAGAGAGAGGAAGAGACTAAAGGAGAGAGAAACTTTTTTGTAATTTAATATTGGACAGTTAGTTATATACATGAAGGGGGGAAAAATCATGACTCCCAGTCCCAGAAGGTGGAACAATGATGGTGCCATTGATGAAAAGGAAGGAACTGGGGGGCATGTGTGCATGTGTGTGCGTGCTTTGGGAGGGATGAAAAGGATGGAGGGTAGAGGAGTTTGGCAATGAGGAGAAAATAAATAGGATGGTAGTTAGAAGAGTTAAAATGATCAAATGGATGTTTTTTTCCAAAATTAGAGATTCAGTAAAATCGAAATAAAAATTTCCTGGTAACCACAATCAGACCACATATATTTGTCCTGGGAGAACTCATTCTGTGCCATGGTCTTCTCTGCTGTGTGACAGGAGCAGGAGTGAGCTGGAGTCACGGACTGGCACAGTGGTAACAGAGGGTCAGCAGGCTCTGAGAGACTTCACAGGGCAGTAAAGACAGCACAGGAATCACAATTTGTGAAGGTCAAACTGGAGTCTATTTTAGCCAGGAATGAGATCACCTCATAAGGCTGAAGGGCTTGAGAGACTGGAGATCTGAATATGAATAAAGTGCAAGTTCAGTTAGTCCTAATGTCAGTAGCTAAGAATAGTAATAATAATAGAAGCTAACACTTAATATAGCCCTTATCTTCTGGCATTTGGAACTCTTTTTAGCACTTTATATATACAAGTTCAGTTAGTCCTTAGACCACCACACAGTGGCTGTGATGGTTATGGTTAAGGGCCAATGCGAGTCAGATGCCTGGGTGCATATGTGAATCCTGACTCCTCCTCTCACCATGTGACCGTGGGCAAGTCATTTAACCTCCTTCCCTGTGTTTCCTTCTCTGTATAACGGAATAATGACAGTTCCTATCTCATAGAGTTTTCTATGAGGATTAAGGAGAATAAGTAAATGTAAAGTGCTTGGAACAGTACCTGGCACAACTAAACGCTCTACAGGTTTTAGCTGTTTTCACAGGGGGTACTATTAAGGACAGCTAGGAGTTCAAGATCTTGCTTTGTCCCACAGTGGATCAGGGAGCAGCAAAGATACTATGCCTAGTGGCACCTGGAAGCTGTGGAACAAAGAAAGGAGTGTCTATTGTTGATGTGAAAAGAGACAATCAGTAGAGTCAAGGAGGTCAAAGAAATGGGGCCAAAAGGTCAAATGAATCATCAGCTTGAATATGTCATCGAATGTGATTGCAGATAATGGGAAGGGAAAATAACCCCTGATTGATAGAAGACAATAGTGATGATTTGGAGAGAAACTGTGAAGTAAAGAAATAAATAGGCTTGATATGGGTTACAAAGAGTAAAGAGATTTGAGCCCAGAGCAATATATATGGGATGAGAAGCAAAATCAGGGATGATTGTTATAGTCAGTGAAAAGGAATACTGGGGTGGCAGGAATTGTTTTTCTTACAGAGCCTTTATTTTCTATTGTTTTCTAAAGCTTTATATTTTTAGAATATTGCTCTGACTTCTGCACTGGCATCCTAATGCTATTCGCATGATGGACCAACAAACTGCAGGACAAGAGGCAAATGCAGGGAGAGTGTGCCAGGCCATCACTGCTTACTGACATCAGTGTGGAAATAAAATTCTGCAGCAGTAGTGGTTTAAATGGGTCCTTCTGACAGGACCTCAAATAAAGAGGCAACATAGCCTTGTGTCTGAAAGAATAAAAAGCAACAAGCTATAGAATACATTGCTTTCCATGAATATTTTTTGTAAACAAGAATTTTGGGGCATTTGTCACCCTTTTATTGATTGATAGATCTGTAACTTTAGAATGTAAGTAAAGGCAAACAAATAATTTGCATTCATCTAATTCACAAGCCAAGAATTTTCTCTAATGTGAAACATTCCTTTCTTTGTTGTCTAAAAACGTAATGTGGGTTTGAAGTTTTAAACTATGTTTGTGTTGTATCCACCTAATCGCATTTCTAGTCCAGCTTCTAACTAGGTCAGAGAGTGGATACTGTGTGCAAAGTGCTGTAGTCATGAGCCAGTGGGATGCAGTGAGGAGGATGTGTTATAATCCCAGCTCTGCCATTTATATTGACCTTGAACAAGACAGATAATCTCTCTGAACTTGTGGTCGTCTAAAAACAAATGTTAAAATGCCAGTGTTAGAGAGCTCTCAGCCTGGGTCACCCTAGAGGCACAGGCTGAGACAAAAGCTGGCATGCATCTAGCTTATTTGTGCATGTGATCCCAGGGAGCAGGAATGCAGGCCTGGGAGTGTGGAACAGGGAAGAAGGGAAAGCCAGGAGAGGGATGAGTTATCCAGCTGTCCACCATGCAGGCGGCTGGTGCTCAGTCCTGCTAGGTGCCTTTCAGAACTGTTATGAAATGAGACCCAGAACAGTTGCAAACAGACAAAGAGACAAAAGGGGAGGGGGTAGCTATCCATAAGCTCCCATACCCCATTGGTCACAGGTGACCTCTGTAAGCCTTACCTCCACACTGCAGGCTGAACAAGCACGAGTGCAGAGAGAGAGTCCTGTGGGCACCAGCTGTGGGGTCAGAGAACTGCAAGGCGGCAGTGAAAGGTATTCACCGTGGGCCAGGGCAAGGCACCTTCTAAGTGGCACCTGCAGGAAGTCTGTTAGAACGTGCAGGAAACTGGACGCTATGTGAATGGCTGGAGTAGGAGGTGTGGCTCGGGATTTTGATGTGGTGAGCAGTGTTCTTATACAGAAGTATTGTAAAAATTAATATAAACTACTTAACACAGTACCTGAAATGTTATATAGCCCCTCGGTAAATGGCAATTGTTATCATTAAGGAAAACAAATCTGATCAAACTCAAGAGGTTTACCTAACAGGGTAATAGACTTATAAACAGCTAACACCTGGCTGTATGTCCTGAATTAAGTATATAAATGAAAATAACAGATACTCTAGAAGCTTCTCCTTTTCTAAGTGGAGCGAATTAGGAAGGCTGCAATTGTTAGGCTGAAGTTGACTTCAGCATATCTAGTATGAGTGAGGAGAAAATGCTGTTGCCAAAATGGAGAATATAGAATACAAGGCAGGATTCAGAAGGGAGATCATCGATTCTGTTTATCCTAGGCCCTCTGTTACTCTGTCTGCCTGGATTGTCTCATCTACTCCCATGGCTTGGATTGCCATCTGCATGTTGTGTTCTAAATCGGTATCTCCAGCCCAGACCTGAGTTCAGACAGTTATACCCACTTGGGTGTACCTCAGGGACCTTAAAATCAACAGATCCAGCACTCACCTAGTCATCTCCCCACTTCATCCCCCATCCCTAGTCATCTTCTCCCTTTTTTCCTGTGTCAGTAAATGACAAGACAGAAATTTAGCCTTCATACTTTTCCCCTTCTTTTTAGGTCCCAACATCGGGATCTATTCCCAACCTAGTCTCTAGTCTACCTCTGGAACAGCTCTGAGATAACTCTGCTTCTCTTTACTGGGGATTCCGTCACTCTAATCCAGACTCTTATCTCAGTTACTGGCACAGTTCCCCAGTAGTCTCCTAACTAACTCCCAATAGTCTCCATGCATTTCCAGTCTTGATTCCAGCAAATTTAATTTTTTTTTAAAATCTTATTTTACTCCATCCCATGTCACCTCATTGTCCACTGATAAGCACAGTATCTGACCCACAGTACCACTCACTAAATATGGAAGGAGCAAAGAAAACAAGCAGACAAGTTAATTTGGGAAAGGTTACAAGAGCAACAACAAAAAATAGCAGTTTGGAGTCAGCAATGTCGGTGGTAGATTAACCATAGGAACAGATGAGATTACCCATTCTCTTACCTTTATTTTCATTTTACTGTTTGTTTTCCCTTAAGCTTCTCTCACTCTACTCATTTTTTCCTGTGTTACATTTCTTCCATCTTGGGTAGCTTCTTTATCTTCAACAAATTAAACGGAAAGTAAAATAAGGATTCATATAGAAGTATAAAGAAATGACAAATTAGTTGTATTATCTAACACTTGTATGGTGCTTTACAATTCATGAATCCCTGTCCTATAAATTTTACGAACAGAGATTCTCAGGAACTTTAACTTTTTTTTTAAAAAGAAGAAATAGTGGAAATTGTACTTTATATTCACATATGAAGAAGGGTCATGAGAAATATGAGGTGGAGGACTAGATTTGTCATGCTTTAGAACTTGATTTGTGACTGTCTGTTACATATAATGAACTGAGTGTCATATCCCTTCCCTTCTCTCCACTCAGCCAGCTCATCTCTGCTGTTTCCCCTGATTCAGTTTAGAGAGCAACCAGGATGTCCCACACTGAAGTCACCTGGATGGCACGTGGGGAGGTTCTAACTCAGCTCTCTCCCTCTTTCCTTTAGAGGGGGATGTGCACTGACCTCCTTCACTGGGGGATGCCCCCCTTTTCCTTGCCTTTCATCACTCACACCGCAGTGAACTGCACCTCCGTCAACTCTTTTCTTATATGTAGGCACACATGAATACACTGACCATCATCCTTGTTTCAGATAAAAGGCTAGCATGGAAATTTGTTTCAGATTTTAAATTAACTGCAGTTTTGAAATTGAAAAATATTATCGGTACAACTATTTCAGAGGTTTTTTTTTTCATGTTTAGAGAAGTTAGTCCTTTGTCTTTATTCCTTCTACTATTTTAATCAACATTAAAACTAATGAAATTTTTCATACTTTGAACGGGCGGCAGTTACACTGGTATTTGAAAATAATTTGTTTATATATATTTCCCAGAGATTACCTCACTCTTTTCTCAGGAAAAGGAGAGAAAATTGTTAGTTTAATTTTGTGAAATAGCCTCTTTTTTAGCTAACTAATAATAATAAAAAACTGATAAACTGACATGTTGGGGAAATTGATAATTTTTTAAACTTTTTTCTTTCTTCAACAAAATATTTTTCAGAAGTGAACACCCACTTGCTCAGCTCTACTGCCATTCAATCATGGAGCATCATCATTTTGACCAGTGCCTGATGATTCTTAACAGTCCAGTAAGTACCTAATTTATGGTTGTGGAATTTTAAGAGACTTTTATAAATTCAGTTTTATTTTTAAGTTTTGGATTTATTCCCAGCATCATAAATTCTTGAGCATGCTTTATTCCTTTTTGGGTAAGGAAGGCAAAGCCAAAACATTTGAGGTCTTCACAGCCTCACTTCTCTAGACAACCAATACTGTCTCAGTGTTGCCTGATAAGGGAAATCGGGTTACACACCTTTATTTGGCTATTCCAGATTAGAAACAAACACAACTGGTATTTCATGGCTTTCAGTTAATTCTGCTTTTTTTTTTTTTTTGTCAAAGGTTTGCTTTCACAAGACAAATACGTTTTCTTCTTTTTATTGAAACTTCTAACCATTAACAAACTGTTTTGTTAAGGAATGAAACTAGTCAACAGCTTGGTTAAATGAGTATTTATCAATGTAAGAAAGCATATGATATGCTACGCTAGACATATTTCTGTCAACGAAAATAAGATAATATACACCAAAGCATTAACAATGGTTGTCTCTGTCTAGTTAAATTATCAGTACTTTTTATTTTCTTATTTTGGTCTGTTCATTATTCACATTATCTATTGTATGCACCTATTACCTTTATAATAAGACAATGAAGTCGTAACTATAACGTTGAACAAGCACAATGCCTGCCATGGAATCTGAAAGCAAGTTTACCTCCATCTCTTTACATCTGCCCAGTGGGGCCATTCATCCTTGAGCCCTAGAAGAAAACTCAGGGAGCCCAGGACTTTTCTGGTCGCTGTACTGTAAGGAGAAGCCCTCTAGTTACTTTAGGTCCTAAAACACAGTATACAGTTTTCAAGTTAGAAACCAAATGTCCAGTCCTGTGTAATAGTCCAGATTTTGAACTTGATTTAAAGTTTCAGGTTCTCCCCTAACTTTCCTGGCTGGCCTCTTTCATAGTGTTTCTTCTAACTCTTTCCTCTCCCCTCAAAGCCCCAAGTAGTTTCCTCCCCTCCAGACTGGGAGAACAGGTCAGAGGAGGGGCAAGAACATTCTCCGGAGTGGTAATGTTACGAGTGTCTCCCACTTCATGACTCACAGGTGTTTGAGCCAAGTGCTTTTCTGTGGGTGATTTCGTGGTCCCTCTCAGCGCCCTCATCGTGGGGCTTTTCCACTGGATCTTCCCTTGATACGAGTGATCATCTGTGTCTGCTTCATCATCACAGGACTCCTTCCTCAGCTCCTGGAAATCTGATCCTTTCTGCTAAGGTTCTTTAGCCTTCTTTGTGGTCCTCTTGAACAAGACAGGACTTAAATCAACCCCAAGCCTCTAAAACTCGGAGAATGCAAGCCGGCCCATATAACAGCAGCCTCTCCCTCACTGCCACCATCAGAGTGGCCAGCTGCCTGGGTCTTGCCTTTTAGATTTTCTGAGGGAATCAGATACAGGTCCACTGTAGCTCACCCCACCCCACTAAACTACAGGAAGCATCCGCAGGGACTTCATGCCCTTACTTGAGGTGAAGGGGAACACAGTCTCACCTCTCCTTAAATACCTCAGTGTGGGTGAAGGGTTAAGAGCTACACAACCAATTTTAGCAGCCTCCGTATAAATCCTGCACATGGTCTAGTACAGACTATTTTGCTATAGTATGTGATTGTTTAGTACGAATTAGTTCATGTCTGATTGGTAAGTAGGTGAATGATGTCTCTATAATGTACAAGTTGTACTGTCTCATACACAAGTTCTTTTGAGTATGGTGCCAGAATTATGGGAGTTGATCTTTTTGATCTTCAGCAAAAAAGGAAAACACTGTCCATTTGGCTTTGGCTCATGCAGCCCTTTCCTTTCTATTGTAAGAATATTGAAAATGGGCACTTGCTCCCTTGCTTTGGACTGCTTAAGGCTCATGGGAGGTGCCCGCCCTAGACCAGCCCAGTGTCCCAGGAATCCAGTTCCTTCTGCGTTCTCCCTGGGCCCCCACAAACCAGCATTTCCACTCGATTGTTTTTGTGCGTCTTTCCTACCCTCAGAGGCAGCCTCCAGACTGGCCAGCCTGGGCTTCCAGGTCACCTCCAGATATACCAGTTCTTGATCTGGTCTTGCTTTGGTTATTAAGTTGCATAGTGGTCTGCCTCAACACTGTTTTTCTCATAAACCATGTTATTTTTAGTGTGTAGTTTCTCAGAACTGAGACTTTTCAGGAATGTATATGTTGAGTTATAGCAGAAACATCTGGACTTTCCTTGGAATTTGCTATCTTTACACTTCAGCTAAAACTTTCATTTTAATATCCTATTCCATTTTAAAGAAAGAAAATACGCTAACCTTTTTTTTAAGCATAATATTTAACAATATTCCTATCATAGCTACCTCTGTTATTAGATAGCATAACTTAATATGTAATATGTTATTACTTAACATATAAGGAATCTGGTTGTAGACCTATCTGTATATTCTGTCTTTGTAAGCACCAATACACAAGAATTTAAAGCCTCTGCTTTTAGAAGGGAAAGTAAAAATATAACACCAAAAGACATTTCCTTTTCCACTTGAAATGGTTTTATCTTAAAATAAATAAAACTATCAGAAGGTATTTTCTGAATAGTTTTCTGTCTCGCCCAGAATCTAAAATGATTTAATATTTAAAAATAATGTTTATGGTTGTAATCACAGATTCATTAATTAGATATATGCCACAATTTCAGTGTCTAATTATCCTCTAACCAGTGATCTCGTTTCAGCTGACCACACTCAGCAGTTTCCCTTTCTTAGAACAAATTCTTTGCCTCCAGACCCCATTCCTAAGCTTTTGCATTTTTTCTCAGCCCTGAGATTTAGGAACTACATCTGATTCCCTTTACAGATGTTGTTTTGAGTATATTCTGAGTACCCGAGGTACGTTTTACTTAGTTCAAGATTAGAGAAAGATTAAAGTGGCTATTCTATAAATCACAGGCAAGAAATACAAAATGGTTATGTAGCGAAAACTTTCAATAATTTGCATATGGATTAGCCACTTTTTAAATACTCCACTTTTTAAATACTCCTTATAGGTGTTTCAACCCATGCTTGCTTTATACCACCAGTAGGCACACCTTTGGCTCATGCCCTCCACCCATCTATTTTGGCATGTTCCTAAGGAAGACACACTGTTCTCAATGTTGGTTAAGTTAAAATTATATAAATTTGCACCAAAAATGTTACTGGATTTATTACAAAAGCCATAGAGAAATTATTATTTTTTGGCTGAAGAAATTCTGCCCTGAGCTAACATCTGTATCAATCTTCCTCTATTTTTTAGTATATGGGCCACCAGCACAGCATGGCCACTAACAAAGTGGTATAGGTCCACGCCCAGGAGCCAAACCTGGGCCGCCAAAGCAGAGTGTGCTGAACTTTGCCACTAGGCCACCAGGGCTAGCCTGAGAAATGATTTTTTAAATAATCAGTTGTTTAAAAGTTTTACCACTCTGTTCTTCACATCATTAATATGGCTTTGACTTTTCAGTGTTTCACTTGGTGTTGGGTTATAGCAATTAACCTGCCCAAAGGAAAAAAATATATTAGGTTTTAGGCCTAAGGAGTATAAGAGTTGGAAAAACCATGCCTTTGTAGGCAGATGTACCATTATGAAGCTGTTTTTTCCTATATGACAAGGCGGTGGGAACATACAGGGGAAACATTATTTTATGGTATGTACTCTAAGTAAGCAGGTGTCCTCCGTATTCATGAGTTCAGAATCCTAGGCATGTGTTTAAGATATGTGACTGTATTTTCAGATTTTGTTCTTGTCAGCAGCTTTTCCAGGTGGAGTGCTAATGGTGGTTTTCTTCTTTTATAAAGGGCAATCAGATTCTCAGTGGCCTCTCCATTGAAGAATATAAGACCACGTTGAAAATAATCAAGCAAGCTATTTTAGCTACAGACCTAGCACTGTACATTAAGTAAGTTTTAAGAAATACCCTGAGATAAACAGGTCTTGCAAGTGTTTACATTGTTTCAGACTTTGAAAATCCATGGTGGGAAATTTTTAGATTATAAGGACAAATGTCCTGGCAAAGCTGTTTATCAAACCATGCAGCAGTTTCTTAAAGGAAGCCAGAAAAGACTACTCCTTTGACTGACTTAATGCAAGAAATTACAGAATACAGAGTTATTTCTGATGTTTATCCACTACTTTGTCTCTGAAGCTATGTACAAAGCAAATAACCATCTCAAAGTCATGCCAAGCTAGGTTGTCCAATCTAAAGATTATAAAGGCCATTTGCTTTTCCTCCTTTCCTTCACTCCTCCAAGTTCTGACCATTTCACAATCCTTTATACTGTCATCCAAGCGCAGGTGAACAGGAAAAGGAGCTGAGTGCCAGACAAGTAAATCTGGTTTCTTTTTATTTGATTTTGGCACAAAAAGAGTATTAATGTAGAACTTTAATGAAGTTACTGATTCAAAAATTAAAGTATGCATTAGAGTGGGATTTGTGATGTATGCATGTATTTGCATAATTAACCTGCCTTTCTAAAAGTGAGAAAAGTCTTTGCTGCATTTGGGCAGGCATGAGTTTCCCACAGGTGGCCCGAGATCTTTGCTGCATGTGTGGGAGTGAGGGGAGGCAAGCAGTCACACTCATGCGATTTCCCTGGACCTTGGGCTTCTCTCCCTCTGTACAGGGATTCACATCCATATTTTAGCCACTCTTATAAGAAGTAAAAACTAAGAGAAGAGAACAGACATAAAATCAAATACCAGATATCCACTGTTGTACATCTAAATGTAACTGCATCTAAAAATGTCTGCTTCATTAGATTTTAGAGCACTTTAAAGTTAATTAGGGTAAAAGAAAATATAATAAACTTTGGTCTACTCAAAATGATTGCAGAATAAAGATTACCAAAATACCAAGAATTTGAAAAATTCCTGTAACCACAAAGACTTCGCAACCTTTCCAGGCCACATGGGTCTCTCCTCTGAACACTTATGAAACCTGCTTTTCATTTTTGGTACTCAATCACATACAGTCAATTTTGTTATATACATTCTTCTTATGTTTGCCTTGTGTCTCTGACTAGATTTATTTTAAACCCTGTGAAAAGAACTCATGTCTGAAGACTTCTCAAGATAGTTAACAATGTGGGCACATAGGAGGTATTCACTGTACACTGAATGAGAATTAGTTTACTCTTTACTTGGTCTTTCTTTGCTTCAGAAGCACTTCAGAACTTTATACTGACATAGAGTAATTATTACAAACATTTTATCTCCTAGACTATAATATATATGAATAAGATATATGAAATTAAACTGAAACCATATAGATCTTATTATGCCATACACTTAAAATTTCTTAAATCATTCTTGGCATCAAATTTTTAACTCATTCTGTTTCATTTTCTTAAAATCATGTGCAAGAAATGAAATGACCATTATTTGTGCTCTGTAGTTAAAAACTAGGTGAGGTTTAATGTTTCACCAAAGAAAATGGTAGAAGGGAGGAAAGTGAGGCATTAAAGATTTTTAAATGATGATTTTTATGTTGGATTCTAAAATGGGAAAAAACCATTAGAGATTTTTTCCCCCCAAAATTTACTCCATGAATCTTTGTAGACCAAAGGGCTAAGAGCCTGGGGACTCATCATAACTGCTAAATATTTTTCTTTACTTTCAAGGAGGCGAGGAGAATTTTTTGAACTTATAAGAAAAAATCAATTCAATTTGGAAGATCCTCATCAAAAGGAGTTGTTTTTGTAAGTAGGTTTACTATTCTTAAAGCTGAAGGTGTGCTACCCAATAAGTTTTATCACTATCAGATTTTCTTGCAATTATTTGTTACAGTGTGATGATCTCAGAGGCTGTCAGAATTCTCCAGAGTGTTGTACAAAGCGCTGAGTATGAATATTTACTTGAAAAGAAAGGCATTTGCAGATTTAAGTGAATAAATCACTCCTTCACCCTAGAAGGACCTTTAAAATGTGGTAGAGTATCAGTACAAGGCTGTAGGGTTCCCTTGTTCATATTCCCAATTCTTTGTAATGGAAGAGCTGAAAATAGCATCCTAAAGGTTGTGGGAGCAGGAAGGTGGCTGTGAAGTGTTGACTTCTCTTGAGAGTGATGGCAGAGGAGCACTGCCATAACTTCAAGATTTCTGTTTTCCTCATCTGCACCCCTTCCCTCCCTCCTAGCTGCAGATACCATCCCTTGGCTATTACTGTGACTACCTTCCATGGCAGTAACTGGACCAAAAAAAAGAACAAAAGGTCAATAATAAAGAAAAGAAAGACACAGCAATACTAAGGACAGTGCTATTACAATTTTGAAATCAACATTTCTTTAAATAGATTGATATTACTTAGCCTGCAAACAAACATGCAAATTATAAGGAAGCAATATACAAATGCCCAGCTGTCTGTCCTACATAGTTGTGCTTCACTTAATAGTCTCAACATGTTCTTCAGAACAGTGCCTTAGAAAAGTGTAGACGTGCTACTGTGGTTAGGGAGCAGTTTTCTCAATAACAAAAAACAAATCCAACCTCAGTTCCGAGTCTGTCATGGTTTTCGCTTCTGCACTCTTCTGACCTCCGAGCTCGTGGAGAAGTACTCTAGGTCTAGCGCCCAGCGTCGCCCCTCGCACTCGTCATTTTTCGGGTTGTAGGTCATTCATATAGGTAGACAGTCTTCTTTTGGGGAGGCCATTTGAATCGGCAAGTGTTATTGAAATCTTTCATGAAATAGGTTTGAAGAGTGATTAGAAATCTCTGGTGCACTCATTTCTTGTGAGAGAGTCGGTGTAAGAGAGAGAACAGCAGAAGGAAACTGTTTGCTTTGTGGCCTTATCTGGTTAGGGAGAATGTACTTCCGGGTTGGGTTTCCCCAGAGGGACAAGTGATACAGTCCTTTACCTTGAGTGTTTCTGTATTACACTGATGCCTTTTTTGCCCCTTTCTTCAAACTAAAGTATTAAATGGTAGATATTTGGATCCAACATGGGAAAACTGTGCTAAAGATAGAATCATTTTCATAGGATAGTTACATATTGGGTTCTAGAGTGCTTTGTCACAGACCCCAGAGTCCAGCATGGTTTTCACTTCTCTAACAAGGGAAGGACTAAAGTGCACCGTCCTCTCGTTTCCCTCTTTTCCTCCAGCAGATACTGTTGAGTAATTTAAAGGCTTTTCACATGGAATTTACTGCATTTGTTGAGTCACTTAGGATGACCCACCACAATTCTTTCTTTCTTAGGACTTTTATCAGTAGGATATCTGATGTTATCCTTCAATGGTTAATTATTAGTAATAGTGTGTTTTCATCATACTATCATTGAGAATGGAAAACCAAAGTGAAAAAATAATAGCAGGCAAGTTTTTGCCAAAAGGTTAATAATTTTTCTCCTTGTGCCAATCTGGAGCTAAATGAGGCAATTTGAAGTCAAATTCCAGTAGTTCACTGGGTAACCAAAACCATGACACTCTGATATCACTGTATCAGTCATGCTTCTGTATAAATTCTGTTTCTTTAATCTTTATACCATCCCTATAGTTTAGAGAGTTTTAATTTAACTTTTGTATTAGTAACTATTTACTGAGAGTATATATTTGCACGAAAGTAAATAGGAGTATTGGGCTTCTTTTTCCCTTAACAGAGCGATGCTGATGACAGCTTGTGATCTTTCTGCAATTACAAAACCCTGGCCTATTCAACAACGGGTATGTTGCTTAGTGATAATAAAAATAACAATTAAAAACTCAAAATAAGGAAAGTCTTTACTCTTAAAAGGAGCTTTGGAAGTATTTTTGGAACTTGTAATCTAATTTTTAAGTAGTGTTAAAAGCAGATAATTGGATATAAACAGGTTTTCTTTTTTAGAAGACTCATTAGCACTTACTAAGATTTCTAAGGTATATTAAGAGAGCATCTATATTAACATGGCAAAAACCTAGCTGTGTTGATAAGTTTTAATTGCAGTACTACTTCTGGCTCACTTAGGGGTGTTTTTTTAGCACATTCCTTTAATAACTTTGAAAATTAGAAGAAGCAAACTTATTTTTCTTATGGTTAGTCTACTAAGCTATACCTCAGCTCTAAATACGCATTAACAAGTAGAACTTAAACATTTCTGGAGCTTGTAAATATTGGAAATGTTGATATAAGATGTCAGGAAGGATCTGTTCAGGGCCTGTGGCTAGGAGACTAGAAATATATCCTTCTCTCTAAATAAGTAACTGCCATAACATTTTGCAGTGGCAATAAAGGCCCTCGGCTCAGAAAAGGGATGAGTATACATGCAGTGATGTGTATATTGTTGTTGTTTTTTTCAAGACTGCATTTTTAATCCTAGATGCACTATCTAAGATTATGGACAGTCTCCTGTTGGTCAAGGCTCTGAGCTGCATAGTCAAGGAGCCCAGCAACCACAGGCTCATCTCATGAAACACACATGCTGGGACAACAAGATCAGAAATGCACTTTCCATGTGCCAAAGCTGACATTCCATGGGCACTCAGGAAAGGTGGTCTTTACAGACCTTCCTGCTCCATAATAAATAGGACTATATGCCCATTTCAAAATAGAGAAGAGAATGGAAGAGGGAGGAACTCGTCTTTCATTTATCCTTTCTTCTGAATCAAACTCTGAAAAGGTAGAGCAATGAGGCTGGGCTCCGGACATAAAAAGCAGTACTATAAAGCCTCTGTAATTAAAACAGTTTGGTGACAGACCAATGGAACACAATAGAAAATCTAGAATTGCATAGAACATTTAATATGTAATAAAGATAGCATTTCAGATAACTGGGGAAAAGACAGACTTTTTACTAAATAATGTTAGGATGATTTTCCCATCTTGCATAGCCAGATGGCAAAAGGCAAAATTGGATCTACTCTGCATACTTAAATTCCAAATGGAGCATAGAATTCATTGCAGAGAATTAAACCATGCAGGTACTAAATAAAAATGTTTGTGGATTCTTGTGTAACCTATGAGTGCGAAAAGTTTCCTAACTATGGCTTGACAAGCAGAAACAATAAAGAAAAACATTGATAAATGTGATTACATAAAGATGAAAAAAATAAAACTTTTGCAAGGCAAAAAGACACTATAAGTGAAGTGCAAGACAATGAAAAACTGGTAAAAATATTTGCAACTTATATCTAACAGATAGTTAATATCTCTTATAAAGAACTTCTAAAAAATAGAGAAGAAATAGGCCAACCACCCTAAAGTAAAATAGGTCAAAGATCTGAACAAAAAGTTGATAGAAGGCCGCTGCCGTGGCTGAGTGGTTAAGTTCGCACGCTCTGCTTCAGCAGCCCAGGGTTTCACCAGTTTGAATCTGGGGCACAGAAATGGCACTGCTCATGAAGCCATGCTGAGGTGGCATCCCACAGGCCACAAATAGAAGGACCCAAAACTAAAAAACAAAAACACACAACTATGTACCGGGGGGCTTTGGGAGAAAAAGGAAAAATAAAATCTTTTTTATTTTTAAAAATTTTTTTTTTTATTTTTTTGAGGAAGATTAGCCCTGAGCTAACATCTGCCGCCAGTCCTCCTCTTTTTGCTGAGGAAGACTGGCCCTGAGCTAACATCCGTGCCCAGCTTCCTCCACTTTATATGTGGGACACCTGCCACAGCATGGCTTGCCAAGTGGTGCCATGTCCGCACCCAGGATCCGAACCATGAACCCCGGGCTGCCAAAGTGGAAGGTGTGCACTTAACTGCTGCGCCACTGGGCCAGCCCCGGAAAAGTAAAATCTTTGAAAAAAAAAAGTTGATAGAGAAAGAAATGTGAATGGCTCTTCTTCACTTGAAAAGGTTCTCAGAACCTTAGTCATAAGAAAAAAATGCAAATTAAAACTACACTGACACAATAAAACTTGTACAGAATTTCATAACAGCAAACAACTCAAACATCTATCAACAGGAGAATGGATTAAACATATGGCAGTATATTCCTTCATACGATGGAGTACTGCTCAACAATAAATAAAAACCAACCACTGACACACGCAACAATGTAGCTGAGTCTCACACACACTATACTGAGCAAAAGAAGCTGGACACACAAGAATACATATTGTGCTTTCATTTATGTGAAGTTCTAGAATAGGCAAAACTAACCGATGGTGAAAGAAATTAGAATAGTGGTTGTGAGGGGAAGGAGGAAAGAAGCGGCAGGGATTGACTGGGAAGGGGCATGAGGGCACTTTTGGGGTGATAGAAATATTCCATGTCTTGGATGGGGTGTGTGTTACTTGGTTATATGCATTTGTCAATACACTGAACTCTGTACTTATGATCTGTGCATTCACAGTATGTAAATTCTACTTCTTTTTAAAAAAACAACAACACTGAGATACCATTTCTCAATTGTTCAACTGGCAAAAATCCAAAGGTTTTACCACATACTCTGTTGGGGAAGCTGCGGGAAATCAAGGAATGCCAAATACTACAGCCCTTTGGAAGTATATAAATACACATATTCATTTACCATTACTTCTAGAAGTCTTATCCCAAAGATACACTGGCAAGAATATAAAAAAATATTTACACACAGCTATTCATTTTAGTGCTTTTGTAATCAAGAAGATTAGAAATAACCCAAATAGGGCCAGTCCCGTGGCCGAGTGGTTAAGTTCTCACGCTCCGCTGCAGGTGGCCCAGTGTTTCGTTGGTTTGAATCCTGGGCGCAGACATGGCACTGCTCATCAAACCACGCTGAGGCAGCATCCCATATGCCACAACTAGAAGGACCCACAACGAAGAATATACAACTATGTACCGGGGGCTTTGGGGAGAAAAAGGGAAAAATAAAATCTTTAAAAAAATAAATAAATAAATAACCCAAATATTCATTAATAGGGGACTGATTGAATAACTTGTAGTATATTTACACAATGACTTCTATGCAACTATAAAAAGAAATGAGGAGGCTGGCCCTCTGGCTGAGTGGCTAAGTTTGCGTGCTCTGCCTTGGTGGCCCAGGGTTTCACTGGTTCGGATCCTGGGTGCCGACCTAGCACCGCTCATCAAGCCATGCTGAGGCAGCGTCCCACGCAGCAGAACCAGAAGGACCTACAACTAGAATATACAACTATGAACTGGGGGCCTTTGAGGAGAAGAAGAAAAAAAAAGATTGGTGACAGATGTTAGCTCAGATGCCAATCTTAAAAATAAATAAATAAGTAAAAAGAAATGAGGAGTATCTGTATACTACTGTGGAGTGATTACAAGGATATGTTTTTAAGTGAAAAAAAAGGTAGAGAAAAATGTGTATGGTATGCTACCATTTATCTAAGAAGGGGGTATATATGTACATAGTTGCTTACATTTTAAAAATCCAGAAGGATTAGCTACAAAAAGTTAATGATTTCCTATAGGGGAGAAGAGAATAGGATTGAGGGAATAGGGATAGAAGCCAGAGTTGCTTGGGTGTTCTTGTTTTGTAGATTTCACATTGGAACCATGTAAATAGTTTTTATTACTATAAAATAAAATTGAATTTAAAAAAAATCACTAGACTTTGAAAATTAAAATGAAACAAACCTGATTTTGTTTGTAAAACCACACTGACAGGGACTATTTCATTCCAAGTAACATTAAAACAGTAATTTGACTATGTATCTCTAGTAGGATGTACCCTAAAAACAAAAAGAATTATCAAAAAAGCCCTGAAAACTGTTTTCTGTAATCATATTTTTAGTGTTGATTTTGTATAGATATTCAATCACTCTTCTGGATGATGTGGGATAAAAGCATATAAGAAATTATATTGCTGTTGTTGTGAATACATTTCAGTGTGAAACGTGTTTTCATGTTTCAGTGTGAGGGGAAAGATAAAGATCTAAGATGGAGAAGAGTATGCAGAAGTCCTGTAGTCCTGAATTCAAACTGGAAATATTGTATGGACTTAGATTGTGTCTTAGCTCCAAACCCTACAAGGACTTAAAAATAATGGTTCAACCTAATAGAAATGAACAAACCTTTTGCCCAGTTGAGGTTTCCAAATACCTCAACTTACAGGAACAAGGGCTCCAGGAAGAAATGGCTGATTGCGGTTCTAAAGCAGGGAATGTACAAGATGAGCCTAGAACATACTGTTTAGCAGAAAGCAAGGAAGCTGTTGAAGACTGATAAGGTTATGTCAAAAGAACAAAGAAGCCAACTTAATAAGCTTCCACTGGCCAAAATGGAACAATTTGAGCATCAATAAAGATTAAAATACAATAAATATGTTTAAGTCCAAGAGTTTAAAATAATAAAAATAATAAAACCTTCCATGGTCATCTTTGGTGTATGCTTGAGAATCAAGTTATTTTTAAAATGGTAAGTAAAGTGGACAAAATCAAGCATTTCTCCTTTTAAGAATTGTACTTTAGGGTAACTAAGTAATTGATGTGGGGAATTTCCTCTTTATTGTATTTCAGCTCATCAAGGAAAAAGCAGTGGTTGCTTTGAATATCCCTTTCTGTAGCCCCTAAATTAATGGATCTAGGCAAAGATCACTAAGGGTTGCTAATATCACAAAAAGAGAGGCAACCAGACACTCCATAGGCCTTGATAGGAGTACACACACAGCACTGCCTATGAAGTAGTCATGGCCAGAAAAAAAATTGAGAATCTCCATCTAATCAAGCCTTTAGTGTATGGAAAAGCAGGTACAGAGAAACGTTAAATTTCATCACAGGAATGCAATCAGCAACATTCAGACAGTGGGAAACTATAGGATAAATAACCCAGTTTATTCAACAACAAAAACCAAAATTATAAAGAAAATTTTAAAAGAGAGGGGAGGACCTGGTAGATTAAAAGAAATTTAAAAGGCATACCAATCAATCACAGTATATGGACCTATTTGATACTGTGTTTTTCACAGCACCTGGTATAACAGGTGCTCAATAAATATCTCATTGATTATGCATACAGATGGGCACACAGTACTTTTTTCCCCACTAATTGCTGGAGCTGAAATAACATGTTGCTTTTCTCTGCTTAGTTACAGAAGATTACAAACTCTAGGCTTTGTAATGAAATATAATTTCTATTAGTCATTACTGCTTTATTTTAATTTTACTGATGTGGTTGAAAGCTACAGATTTGATAATCTTCATTCAGAATCTGTTTTACAGTGATATACTTTTAATTGCCAAAATTTAGTCTGTTCTTTATTTCAGATAGCAGAACTTGTAGCGACTGAATTTTTTGACCAAGGGGACAGGGAGAGAAAAGAGCTCAACATAGAGCCCGCTGTAAGTACGAGACTGTTGGTAGGAATTATTCAAATACATTTTTTGTTGTAGACTTCCTTTCATGCTTCTATGAGATCTTTCCTGGGGAATGCAATTTCTCCTCATTTTATTTTTAAAACTTTTTTATTAGAGGAATTATATATGTTTATTACAGAAAAAAAATAAGAGGACAAAAAACTCTTTGGGTCATCATATTGTACCTCTGTTTTTGTAATTTGCTTTTTCCACTTGAATATCATAAGCTACTTTTCATTCTGACAGATGCTCTTCTATATGTTATTTATAATGATGACATGAAATAGATGTAACCATATTTACCCACCTCCTTTGGGGTAATGTCTGCAGTGTTCACTATAAACATCTATGTTACAAAATGTTTGTGTGCCATTTTTCATTATCTTGTTAGGATAAATTCCCAGACTTGCTGTGTTGAAGGGAACACAGATTTTAAAGACTTTTGATAGATACTGCCTTTTACATAGAGTATGGATCTCAAATACAAGAAAAAGATTCTTCTCAAACCATTTCTGTCCTTTGAAATGAAGTTTTCCTGAAAATGAAGCATAGAGTCATTTATTTTTTCAATTCAAATGAACATTGATGTAGCCCATACTAAATGGGACGTGGTTAAGCGATGCCCCTCCTGTCTGTGTGCAGTTCCCCCCACGCTGCTCTGTTCCCTCAGCTGGTTTCATCCTCTCTCTCATTAGTCTTTTATGGTTATTGTCTTCTATAATGTAATGGTAGGTTTTTTCAGAAGCTCAGAATCTTCTTAGAAACTGGTGGGTAGCAGAGTGCTGGTCACAGCTAATGGAGAATTTGCTTCATTTGAAACAAGCACTGAGACAGACTCGTTTCTTCCCATGGAGGTGCTGGGTTGAGTGGCGCTCCAGGCATGAACTCTTTGGAATAATCAGCAGTGACGTCTGTGTAATCTGCACTCCAAAAGCTCTGTGTGAACTGAATTATAATCAGCTGTGGTCTCAGTGGCTTCTTTCACAAAACTGAGGGTGTTTGATTTCACATCAGTAGACAATTCCAAAGCCTGTGTGCTCTCCAGATACACGTCAGTGGTTGATTCTACGTCAATGATGAACTCTGTCTGGGTCAGTGGTCAACTCTAAGTCAGTGGTTGACTCTAGGTCAGTGATCAAGTCTAGGTCAGGATCAGTTCTGGGGGTAGTGTGGGGAAAGTCATAGAATGAACAAGACAGAGAGGATCAGGGTCTTCCTGATTATTGGGCCAGTGGGGAGTACAGGAGTCTCATAGAGCTCAGGAGGCGGGTATCGCCTTCCTCAGCTAACCCAGTGATTCATCTTTTTAGAGTCAACTTGCATTATGTTCTTTAAGTAAATGCAGATCCGTGTGTGTGTCTATTTCTGTGTTTCCAGGATCTAATGAACAGGGAGAAGAAAAACAAAATCCCAAATATGCAAGTTGGGTTCATAGATGCCATCTGCTTACAACTGTATGAGGTATTTATATGAAAACTACTAGACTTGCTAAACTTAGAGTGTGTTATGAATTAAAACCTACAGTAAAGTGAAGCAATTAACATTAGGTGTATATTTTTTTCTTCTTAGTCAAGAAACAAGAAGTAAAATTATCATCAGGATTGTTTATTTTGTTGATAAACATGCTGTTCACATTGAACAAGGCACACGTTTTATTTTTACTATTTCTCAAAAACTTTAATTCATCAATGCATAGCTATCTTTTGAGTGCCAACTGTGTGCTAGGCTCCAACAAACTGATATAGGGAATACTAAGAAAAATTATGTGCCAGGACTACCCTCAAGGAGGTATATGGTGCTTTCTCTCTGTTAGCATATTCTTTTTAAGTCTAAGTTTGGGCCTAGATAAGGAAAAATAATTACCAACTTTTTCTCATTGTCATAGTGTGGCTTTAACATTGTTAAGAAAATTTTTATGAGGATTAAAAGAAGGTGGCTAGAAAAATATTGTAGGTTCCTATTTCAATACACCCATTGGCGTGGGGTTTTTTTGTTTGTTTTAGGTAAAGATATTATCCCTAAAACATCCAGTTTCCTAGCTTAGATGTTTATGCCCCAAGTACAAAAAATAGATAATGTCCTTGTCTTTAAAAGTTTAAACAGGAAAATGTCTTAAGTTTTAATTATTTTGGAAAAGAACATTTATCATGGAATTATCACAGAATGTCAAGACCACAGGAAAGCCTAGAAATCTTCTAATCCAGACATTTCATAGATTCGGTAATTGAATCTATAAAGTTCATCTTCCAGGGAGATGGAAAACTTGCCCCAAGCAGGTAGTTAGTGGGAGAACTCTATCGAGAGTCCAGTTCTCACCCAAGTCCCGTTTTCTACCATCGAAAGAATTTAATAAAGAAGCCATGGCTGACGAGGAGAGGAAGAGGAGGAGTGGGCAGGAGAGGCAGCAAAAGCAAAAGAACATCGGGTGTCCGGCCTCTGTACCACTGTCTCCCCACCTTTTTTGGCATTCTGCTTGTTTACTCCTTTGCAGAAGGGCAGTTAGAATAGGGTTTCAAACACCCTTAAATATCTCATTCTTTCCATAGCAGATCTTATCTTACTGATTGGATTAAGAGTTCCTTAGTTGAAGATACTAAAGTCTCCTGATTTTTCCCCATGCCTGTAAATATAGTCAAAATTACAATCAGATCACCCATTATAGGTTTTATCCTCCCACAGTTCATGTCTGTGCAAGGATTCATTTTATTTGAATTTGCTGTTGAATTCTATGTGATAGATACATCTTTTTACTATTATTATAGAAGTAATATATTATAGACAAATAAAAGAATATAGAGAAGTAACAAGAAAGATAAACTCAGGGGCCAGCCCGGTGGCGCAGCGGTTAAGTGCGCACGTTCCACTTCTCGGCGGCCCAGGGTTTGCCGGTCTGGAACCCGGGTGCGGACATAGCATCGCTTGGCAAGCCATGCTGTGGTAGGCGTCCCATGTATAAAGTAGAGGAAGATGGGCATGGATGTGAGCTCAGGGGCAGCCTTCTTCAGAAAAAAGAGGAGGATTGGCAGTAGTTAGCTCAGGGCTAATCTTCCTCAAATAAATAAATAAATAAATAAATAAATAAATTTAGGGGGGGAAAAAAAGAAAGAAAGATAAAATCACTTAGAATTCCACTACTCTAAGATAATTCTGTCAATAGTATATGCTTTAGGACATTTTCATGTTTTCATTTAACAAAAATTGCTTGCAAAACATAATATAATGTACATCTTTCTGTTTCACATATGTTTCTATGACAATTTTAATGGCTGCAAAATAGTAACACAATATACCTTAGCCTTGTCATTGGGTATTTAAGTCATTTTCAATGTTTCCTTATTACAAAGAAATCTGCAGTGAACATTCTTGTGGCTAAATATTTATGGCACTATAGTTGGTAAATAATAATGCCACACAGAATTATAAATTAATCTTTATTATAATCTTGGGTGAAATCTTTTTAAGTACATTGTATAAAACCATTTTGTAGAAGAACATACAAAGTAAGCAGCTCCCAATACAGTCATGCTTATGGATAGCCATCTGTACTACATAAAAGCAAAAGTACTGTTTCCCTGCAAAGCCGATTCCACACAGATCTGTCGCCGTAGCTCAGTTATGTTATTTTGGAATGTGCGCGTTTGCTCTGTCTCTCAGCATGTACTCCTTGTCTGTATAGCTTAAGAGGAATCATTCATAAATGATCCTTGTGTGTGTTCACGCAGCTTGTGAAAACCCCAACAGTGGGCCTGCTCGTGAAATTAGTGTGGCATGTGGCCCTTTGGTACAGGACTGGGGAGAGGGCTTATTTCCTGGCTTCCATATAGTTGTTTGCTTTCTTTTTCTTTCTTTAGGCCCTGACCCATGTATCAAAGGACTGTTTCCCTTTGCTAGATGGTTGCAGAAAGAACAGGCAAAAATGGCAGGCTCTTGCAGAACAACAGGAGAAGATGCTGATTAATGGGGAAAGCAGCCAGGCCAAGCGGAACTGAGCGGCCTATTCGTGCAGAGTTGAAGTTTACGGATGGTGATTCTGCAGTATGCCAGTTTTGCTATACACTGTACAGATTTGGTGTATACTTTGCCACTGCTGTATTTTTATTTTTGCACAAGTTTTGAAAGCATAGCATGAAATGTTTTTAGGGTACTATTACATTTCTTCTGTATATCTGTTTTATGCCACTGAACTGAGATTTTCAACAACACCCACTCTTAGCACATGGATAAGAGCACTGTTTGTGATATTTTGTGTACTGCAAAGTGCAAGTGGCATTCTTGCACTGAGGTTGTTTTTTTCTGCTTGGAGCTTTTAAATAATTGGCTTTGTGTTTTCTGAATTACCAATCTTTAAAGAATGTTCGGAATCTTTCTCAAAAATAAGCTAGGAGCAAATTGAATATATTCTGTGACATTTAAAACCTTTATAGGATAGAGAAAAATGCTGGCCGAGTGGATTTTAAGGGGTTTGGAGTATATTTGTCAACAAAGTATTACCGTAAGAAAAAAAGTTAAAACCGAAACAAATGGAAAGTACTATGAGGCAGCATTATAGAGAAAAAGTATTATTTAATTGATTTGCTGTGTTTGTTAGAGAACAGGCAGGAGAGAACTTTCTCATTTAGGTGCAGTACATCTATCCGGAGGCTACCCATCAAGTGTCTTCAGTCTAACTCAGCTGATGGAAAGCACGGGAAACCTTTTGAGAAGATCCAGTCACTGACTATGGAGGGATGAGTGTGTTCCAAGAAGGGAACGGCCATGGATGTCTGTCAGTGAAGAAAAGCGTTCTGTTGGAAGACCCTTTTGAGAGTCAGTGAGTGTTTTGAATACTGAACTTCCTTTTTTCAATAGCCTCCTCATCTTTTATCTCCTTATAAGTCAACAGCTTAAATCTCAACGGGAAATCGAGAAAAAAGTGATAATTGGAGCACTGACCTGAGTGAGATACAACTACAGATAAGAGGGTACAAAATAGATCATCATTTTTCTCTTTGTCAAACAAAATATAGAGAAAAGTTTTAATTATATGGACAGCAAAGGGCTATCCTTGATATTGGAGTCAAAAATTAAATTGAGGGAGCAGTAAGGTAAGAAACCTTAGGCCTGTGAATAAAACTTAGCAGTATTGAGTTTGTGATTGAGAAACTGCCGTATTTTGGTTTAGAGGCAGGACTAGTCAACCCAGAATCACAGAAGTTTGGGTGTGTATCCTAAACACTGGCCCTGACCTCACAGTTGGTGGTATTTACTTCTCATAGCTTTTAGCACATTTAGAAAATGTTAACGTTTCCTTAGAATTTGAGCCCATTTAAGTGGATTCCCATTGTACATGTGTGCCCCTAAATTGACATGCATTCAATATTGGAGAAGTAGGAAATGAGTCGAGCAACTGGTTAAGGAAAGGAAAACCTGCTCCAAATATATGGAAACATTTGGACTTGGAGAGAGTAGGGAGGTATTTGCTTGATTTGTTAATTCCCTTCCTCTACTAAAAAAAGTTCTGAGTTTCTATCTCTAATTTAGACAGAAATCTCTTGAGGATATGGTAATGCAGCATTCTCAAAGACCTGTCACTAAAACATGTTTTCCATTCATATTTTCTCTAAATTGCCTAAAATTCAATATGTTTATTAAGTTTTTAAAATTCTGAGTGCGTATATGTATAGTGACATAATGTGGCTTTCTTCTTGCCATTCAAGTAAAAAATAAAGCGCAAACAAATTGTATTGTATTGCCATTACTTTGTAGTGGTAAAGGATAGTCTAGAAAGTTATCACCTATTTAATGCTGTATGTATTATTATTGTAATACTTGTATTTTTCAGGATATTATTCTATTTTTATTTTACATCATACAGATGAGATCTGTAAGGTTGCCTCTTGGTGACACTGGTGTGTAAATTACACAGACTGTCACTAAAATCATGTAGCTACATACTGGTATACACCTATGCATGCACACATAATTCCTTAGTTTATAAAAATTGTTTAAAGAATTTCAGTCTTTAATAACCTTTTTTTCATACACATCATGATTTAGCAGTGATGCTGAAATCTGTAGTCATATACTTTAGTAGTCTGTTTAGACCCCTCTAACATATGTCACTGAGATTTTTAAAAACATAGAGACCATGTATGGAGGATTTGTATGTGTGTCATTGTATCAAGCAAGAAGAGATATTTAGATTAGAAATTGGTTTGCCTTTAGATAATGGTTTATTTTACTTTACTGGTTTAGAAATTAAAAGAAGGGCAATGCCATGCCTATTTTATTTTATTGTTGGATATTTTAGTTCATACAGAAGAAGAGTACTCTTTTAGGACTGGTTTGTTGGTTCAAATAATTTTTAATTTTTAGGAAAAATCATTCCATACATGAATTAATATCTGGTACATGGGCACAAACCAAATTTTTTGTTCTTATGTGAATATTTCCTTTCTAGTATCTTCACAAGTTGGAAAAAATATATAGTCTTCCTCCACCCTACCCTATATTTATATTACCCATAACTAGTAAGAAGTTGTTCTTGTCCTAAAGTAGTTTGTTTTAGTTATAGTTGAGTAACATGGTACCATTTCAATTTTCAGCCCCAAAAGTCCCCACTATTTTACTAAGTTGTTAGGAGATGTCTGAAAAATTGCCTGGCCTTATATTTTTCAGAGGACTGGTCTTTGCCAATCGCTGTCCTGTGTGAACTTGTGTAAGTCCCTTAACCTCTGTGTGCCTAATAAGTTGAGCCATTAAAGGAGTTCTGTTTGGGCTAAGTCTTTGTCTTCAAGGAGGATGTCACGGAAGGCAGCTATTATGTCAGCTCTAATGGGCCCTGGAGACCACTGTCAGAAATGGGATACTGGGCTACAGAGCACAGTGATCTAATCCCACATGTCATTTCTTATGTTGAGTTTCCAAGACTGAAAACGCAAACACAGTACATTTATTCACCTTCTCAGGCAGATCGCTGCTGACTGTGAGATGTAGAGCTCTTTGAGCATCTCACCTCAAGGTACAAACCCTGGATGATGATGATGTCACCACTGATCTCATAATTATGAAGAATAGTGTCCTTTGATAGGAGTATTGGAGATAAGAAAGTGTATGCCAATATATTGAAGATATTGGATTCTGGGAGGAAACTTGTCACAGGTAACATTCTAGACAGACAGGTAAAATGCCCAGCAGTGAAGTGCCTTTATTTCAGCATTAGAGCACAGATGTTAGACCTACTCCAATCTGATTTCACTTTTCCTGTGTTTTTCACCAGATTGTACTCCTAAAATTTTACAGGCCATCACAAGCAGTGCTGTTTTGTTTTGTTTTTACAAGATCGATTTAAGGTGAGAAGGGAAAAAGAGTAACTGTTGTCCTCTCCTGTGAACAACTATAGTTAAAATAAGGTGGTATAATTTAATTGCTCAGCATCAGACATGCATTGATCCACCTTTTATTGAGTCCCTGCCACATGTCAGGCACTGTGCTCAGCCACGGAGACGGAACAGTCTCTGCAGGAAAGGCTGGATAAGAGACTTAACCAGCTTCTGATCCTGCTGACTGAAGGTGAAAATAACATTCTATCACTTCCGTTTTCATCTGTAACATATATTTTATACAGTTTTCTGGGGACCTTTACCTGGAACTTATTAAGAATCTGTTAGTGAACATCCTGTCTTCTTGCAAGTATGAATCACTTGGCCTGTTGATAGCTTAAAGAATATCCTATGTAAGGAGTCATATATTCCACTGTCTAGGTTATTTTTCCATATGCTGGCCAGGTAGAGAGTACTCAGAGTTCTCTTAGACTGCTAAATTGTGCACAGTTTTGGACCCCTTCTGCTCCACCACAGGGAGCGAGGAAGAAAGCATTAAAAGCTCACTTTGACCTTCCATATATTTCTCAAAAGCCTGTGTAAACGTGTCTTAATGAATGTTGTTGACAGCAATGTAAATAGTTGAAAATATAAATTTCTATTACAGTTTAAGAAAAAAAACCCTTATGAATCATCACTAGCCACTGTTAATATCTATTTGTATTCTTATACCTTTTCAATATATTTGAACAAATATATAGTTTCTGGCACTATTTTTGTACTAGGACAAAGGAGTTACTATGTATATTATGTTTAGCTTTTAAGTCATTTTAAATAATTGTGAAGGTTGATTTCTTGTCTTTCCTCTCCCCCACCATGAGAACCATTTCAGATGACTCTTCTGTGATAAAATCACTTTAAAAGAATACTTAGCCACCTGTGATCCCTAAAGTCAAGAGATAGTCAGGGTGGTTTTCCATTGTGAAAATTCTTAAGAACCTGTCATTTGTTTCCTCATTTTGCCATGCTTTGTAAAAATAAAAAGAATGAATAAGTAGGTATGAGTCTTGTGTGATTATTAGGGGACTTTGAATGTTAAGGACAGGGGATTATTAGGGGACTTTGAACTTTAGGCAGGGAGAATGGGTCCAATAGTATGAGAGACTTTAATCAAACTAACCTATGGTTCTATTAGCTGAAAAAACTGGTTTAATAAAATCCTTTCCTTATGGTGGCCGACCTGGTGGTGCAGTGGTTAAGTGCACACGTTCTGCTTTGGTGGCCTGGGGTTCACCGGTTTGGATCCCGGGTATGGACATGGCACTGCTTGGCAAACCATGCTGTGGTAGGCGTCCCACATAATAGGTAGAGGAAGATGGGCACGGATGTTAGCTCAGGGCCAGTCTTCCTCAGCAAAAAGAGGAGGATGGTGGCAGATGTTAGCTCAGGGCTAATCGTCCTCAAAAAAAAGAAAAAAAATCCTTTCCTTAGCCTAGACTCCCCTCAGTAATGGTCTTCTTTTTATTAATATCCTTTCCTAGAAATCTGAGGGTAACAATTTCCATACACCTCACTTCAAGATCCTAGCAATGCTATGGAGGGTGATTATTACCGGCCTCGTGTTGTGTGAGGAGCTAAGGGTTAGGAGTTAAATACTTGCCAAATGGCATGAGCTGGATTCAAGCCCAGATCTGTCTAGTTTCAAAGCAGGTGTTTATTCCACTTAGCTCTCTTCTTGAATTTTAATTGTAAAAGGTCCTAAATCCATACTTAGTGGATCAAATGGGCTACCCAGAAGCCTTTGAGATAAGATTTCTGTCACTGGCAGGTTTGGTTTTGTTTGCCTTCCTACAGTCAACATTCCTTTAGTTCATCTGGTAAGAACTAATGCCCTGCCCTCACAGAATCCCAGATACTACCGTGCTTCAAGGCTGCTGGTCTAGAGGCATGGAGGTGTAATTAAATGCAGAATTTCTGATTCATTATTTAGTTTTGCCACTAAACAAGCCCTCTTCCTGCAGGGCACAATATCTAGGCTATGCCTAATTCACAAAGCTAAAGACAAAAATAAAATGAAAGCTCCTATAAAACAGTATTTTAGATTTTCTGACCACTAGAGAGCACCAGAGTTTCAGCTGCATTTAAAGCAGTAAAACTCCCACTAAGGAGTAACCCCTAAAATGGTCTTACGGAGCTTCTGGTCCCTCGGAGGCTACACACAAGGGCAGAGACAGTCCTATCTCTGCACTCAGGGTGGGAGTGGAGGCTGGCTCAAACTTGAGGCTTCGGAGACGCTTCCCCAAGGGTGTGGCATCTGCTTTAGCCAAGTGAAAAGGGAGAAGAGTATTCCAGGCAGAAGAAATGTGCAAAGACCTAGAAGCAGCAGTCTAGAGAACCTGAAAGCTTTCGCTCGACTTATTTAAATACGTGTAAACTTTATACTTATGAATGATAAGGATTAAAAATATATACAGTATAAATATTAAATATACTTATAAACGTATAAAATAAAGCAGATGTCCTTTAAATGTATATTTGAGCTCTTAAGAAAGTAAGAGAAATCCCCAGAGGCCAAAATAAAGCTAATTAAAAACCCAAGCAGTAAGCATATGAGCTGATACTGTCAGACTTGGGAATATTTGCAAATCTCTGTAATGAAGGCGTTTTAATGTCCTCCCAAACAGGGAAACATGGTCTCAAGACCCTGTGAAGCATTTAGGGAATGGCTCTCCAAGTAAGGCTGAGACCTTTGAAGAGCTATGCCCTCAATGAACACATAGAAAGTGGGGGAAGTCCACTCAGACACAGGAAAATATAAAGGAAGCATTGCCTGTCTTAATCTGGGCTCTGGGTAAAAAATAAAAATCATAACATTGGGTCTACCCTCATAGTCACACAGATTTGGGGTCTGAATATGATCCAGGACTACCCAGGTTAAATTGTAAGCACAAAAAGAAGTCTCAGGCCAGTAATATCCCTGGACACCTGGCAAAAGCAAAGGCAAAATGTCTTTGGAAGAAGACAATCTCAAACAGGCCCATAAAATTTCCACAGAAATCATGCCACTAAAGACATATTCATAATTCACCATTGCAAAACCCACGAGAAAATTCACAATGCACAAAAGTCAGAAGCCACAAGACTGCAGGATCAGATCCCCAAGAAATTCAGACAATAGAGCTCTCTGATGGAGGCTGCTGGGAAGAATCATTGATTTCTCACTCTTGTGTTTCCAAAGGAACACCCCTAAGATGACACTCTTGGTCCCTTGTCCACCTCTAACCCAACCCAGTCAGATGCCTGACTGGAGGGTGACAGCCATCAGTCCACAGTCCTTAAATGGGTGATGTTAATCTAATAAAAAGCAGTAAATGCTGGGGATTTGTTTCTTTTCCTTACCTTTTGACCCTGATCTAGTGCAAGTTGGAAATCCTAGGTAAGTGTGTCCAGGTATAGAGAGGTGTGTCCCAAGGTCTAGCCTGCTGAAGGGGTGGGGACTGAAGCAGGGAGTGTTAAACCCATTTGACCATGGCATGTTCTCCAACCTAAACATGTTCCCCAAACGCCTTATTTACCCGACCAATTCCCCAAAGCTCTACACCAGCCAGAGTCACATGGTTTCCTTGGGAGTACTATGCCTATCTCCTTTAATGAAGGCTTTCTAGACTGTTCCTCTGCAACCCCAATGGGCCTTTTTCAATCAATGTCCTCTCCAGCCTCTGATCAATGTGGTAAATCTGTGCCTTCCAGAGTCTGTCGTAATATGTGCTGTTCGAGGAACAGAATGTGCAAATAAAGAACATTGTTACTCACCTCTCCTTTCTGCTGGCGGCTGTTAGAAGACAGGAGTGAAGTCAGCTGTGAAAAACATCCCATTTTAGAAATGCAGTGAATAGTTCAAGAAAAGCACTGTTGGAAGATAGGTTGTTCTGTTTTACATTTAAAATTCTGAAAAGTAAATTTAACATGACTAGAAATTATTCACATTTTTCTTCTGCCTGTTCTAAGACTTGGATTAGTGATGATCATCGACAAAGCACACTAACAAACTCTGAGTCGCTGGAAGCCAGTATTCGCAGGCAGCACAATGGATGAGGCAGCTCATGAGTAATAATACAACCAATATGAATAAACAGTATTAGGGAACTGCAGAGGCTAGAAGAGCTATATTACTTTCATACAAACGTTTTAAAGAGCCGTGGCATTGTGAGGATAACAGGGTTGCTATTTTTACTCTCAGTGGGAATTATGAAATTAGGGAGGAAGAACACATCTGACAATAAAAAACATAAGCAGATGGTTCTTGGACTTGAACAAGAAGAGGTGGTGCCTGGATACTACCAATGCGAACTGATTTTCACACGCACTACTTGGACAACGAACTCTGTAAATATCTCTTCTCTACTTAGTTTTCTAAATTTTCATTGAAATATCATTGTATTAGTTTCCTATTGCTGTTATAATAAATTACCACAGATGCATGGACTTAAAACAACACAAATTTATTATCTTACAGTTCAGGAGATCAAAAGTCTAAAATGCGTCAGCAAGGCTGCATTCCTTCTAGAGGCCACTTCCTTGCCTTTCTGAGCTTCTAAAGGCTGCCTGCACTGCTCAGTTTGTGGTCTCTTCCTCCATCTTCAAAGCCAGCAACAGAACATCATCAAAGCACGCTCGCTCTCTCTCACATACATGCACACTCTGACACTGACACACACACACACACACACACACAGGACCTACCTCTGCTTCCTCACATTTCCTTCTCTAACATTCTGATAAGGACCCTTATTATCTTAGGCCCACCCAGATAATCCAGAATGATCTTCCCATTTCAAAATACTTAGTGACAATTACATCTGCAAAGACCCCTTAGCCACATGGGGGACACGTTCACAGGTTCCAGGGATCAGGATGTGGGCATCTCTGGGGGCCATTATTCTGTCTGCCACAGTTACTATCTCTCACATGAGCTCATGAATTTTGTAATACCTATTTTTGTGTGAGATTTTTTTAACAGACTTTATTTTTTTAGAGCAATTTTGGGTTCACAGCAAAATTGAACAGAAAGTACAGTTTCCAGATATCCCATCCCCCCACAAGCAGTCTCCCCCACTATCCACATCATACACCAGAGTGGCACAATTGTTACAGTCCATGAACCAACACTGACACATCATTGCCATCTAAAGTCCAATGTTCACATTAGGGTTCACCCTTGTTGGTGTACATTTTATGGGTTTGGACAAATGTATAATGATATGTATCCATCATTATAGTATCAGGGTAGTTTCATTGCCCTGAAAATCTTCTGTGCCCTGCCTCTGCATCCTTCCCTGCCCCTAACACTGGGCAACCACTTAATTTTTTTTAATTTAAAGAATTTATTTTTTTAGAGCATTTTTAGTTTCACAGGAAAATTGAAAGTATAGAGATTTCACATATACCCCCTGCTTGTATCCATCACTATAGTATCATACAGAGTAGAGTCACTGCCCTAAAAACCCTCTGTGCTCTGTCTATTCATCTCTCTTCCTGCCCTCAGCCCCTGGCAACCACTGAGTTTTTTTTTTTTTTACTGTCTCTGTAGTTTTGCCTTTTCTAGAATGACATATAGTTGGAATCGTACATTACGTAGCCCTTTCCAATTGGCTTCTTCCACTTAGCAATGTGCATCTAAGATTCTTCCAAGTTTTTTCCTGGCTTGCTAGCCCACTTATGTTTGGCTCTGAATAACATTCCATGCTATGGATGTTCTACTGGTAATAATACATTTTTAAGTCAAATTGTTTATATATAGACGAGCTTCACACACCCAAGGGGCTGCCCTGCCCTGAAGCCTCAAGAAAAACTTAAATTCTGTCCAGTATACTCCTTTTAGGCAAGCAAAGAATTTATATGATAAAGCAGATTTTATGAGGTTTTTGAAAGACATAAACAGGCTGGCCCCTTGGCCAAGTGGTTAAGTTCTCGTGCTCCGCTACGGTGGCCCAGGGTTTCACTGGTTCGGATCCTGGGCACAGACATGGCAATGCTCATCAGGCCATACTGAGGTGG